GTCTCTGAGACCATCTGGAAGCACTAGTAGCCAGCATTTGTGTCATAACTCAAGATTTTGGTCCTAAGTTAAAACTAAAATTCCGGTCGTAACAGAAGTTGTTTGTATGTCAGACTGGATATAACTCTAGGGCCCACTGTATTTAAATTCTCCTTGTCATAGTCCAGCTCAAACTGTCACTCTAAAATGCCCTCTCTTAAATTACACAGCACACATATTGAGCCCTTCTCTACTTACTGACTGACAGCATCAACTTAAACATGTTTTTATTATCTGATTTTGGATCACTTTTTCACTTCCTATTTTATTTTTTTTTAATTGTAAACTATTGTGTGTAGCAGGAAATACACCAAAATTCTCTATAATCCATATAATTAAAATCATAACTAGAGCTCAGTTAATGACGTTTGATAAACTCCTTTTAAAAAAATGTTTCACAGAATACAATGCATTTTATTCCACATACCACGCACAAGGGTTTGTTGAATGATTATTATATTAACACAGTTTTAAACTTACTACATAAACATTATGCTTACAGAACCATCAAATCCCTTGACTATTAACTTTCAGGTTAACTATCATTTTTCATCTTTCTGACATGAATGTGTTGTTTAGCACATTTCAAATTAAACTGTTCCCTCTTCCTAACTTATAATTTATAAGAAAATAAATCATATATAAACATTTTTAAAAGATCACTACATATATATTAATGTAAAAATTATCTGATAACAATTAATCAATAAATCTTTTTCATGATTTTTATCTTACTTTATCCCCAATTACATAGAATTAAAAATAAGTGGAATTTGGAATGTAGCATAACAGCTACTGAGAGAAAGGGGCTTTAGAAAAGATTCTTTGAAATTCATGTTAGTTGACTTTTAATATTTTAGGAATAGATATCACTATACATTGAGACTTGAAGAATACTCTGCTAAGAGTAAGAAATGTGAGAAATGCTTTGGTTCTATCGGGTGCAAAATCTTAATCTAGTGCAATAATTATGTGTCTTAATCAGAAACTCTCATTCCAGTTTTGAAGGGATATTTTTCCCCCTTCTATCACCATATGGCAAAAGGTACATAGATGCATTGCAGCTGCTTAATTTACTTTAGATAAATTAAAAATATCTATCATGTAACACACAGGGAAAGTCTCTAGTCTCCAGGCAACAGGTTGTCAAGAGTCACAGTGTCTTACTGGTAAGAGGCTTTGTCCTAAGAGCAAAAGAATTGCTTTTGTTTCAGTTCCTGGAAATCTGCATGGCTATATTAAAGGAAAACTAAGATGCCAAAGTGTGCATGTTAGCATGAATAGAGTGGTAGAGATTTATACCACTTTGAAGAGACAATTAAATACAATTAAAGTGTTCCTTGTCAACAAGTCAGCTTTTAATGTTGCATGGAGTTCACAAGAACTCTCCCTGCTAGTAGTATACTTGACTTTATAGCTTTAATAGAAGTTTGTTTTGTCTCGCTTCTCTGCAAAATTTTTAAACAATTACCTTTAGTAACGTAAAGAGAAAATTTGGCACAGAGAGTTTGTTAAAATGTACATGAAGGCTTCGTGCCAAGGCAATGCTATAGAATAGGTGCTTTAAGACTCAGAAGATAGAAGCAAAAGAAGGAAAGGAGCAGACAGAATAAGCATAGAAAATGACCCTGAAGCAAGGGAGCCTGTGCCTCACACCATTACCACCACCTGGCCCAGCCTGGGGCCAGCACTCAACCAAAGCCCACTGTGCAGGTGTTATGGAGGCCCAGCAGGCCTTGCCACATCATCATACTTATTTTTTTTTCTCCTTTTTCTTCTTCTTCTTCTTTTTTATTCTTACTAGAATACACTCTATTTTGTGAACCTTTGATTTGATTTCCCACACAAAATGCATATGGGAATTGTGATTTATTTTCTGATTTATCATTTTGGTCTTATTTATTAAAAATTGTTATTAAAGGTGTCATATCTAATGAGGAGTTACAGATTTTGAGTGATTTCTTTTGGCTCATTTATGCATTAAAAGAAAAAGTTTAGTTATTAGAAATTCATACTTTTGAAGACAGAGGAACATGTTTTTGCTAAAAACATATTTTGGGAGGAATTTTTTTAAATGTTTACAATGGCTTTATGGTTCAAATTTGATCTCATTTATAAATTATTACATCTGGACCAACTATAAACCAGAAATGCACAGCGGTTAAGGGATCAGATAACGTGAGTTAGTTCAGGCCAAGTGTTGATCTTGTAGGTTTGGGTTGGCAATCTCCTATACTCAATTTTCTTTTTTTTATACTAAACTTTCTTAACAAATTCTCAGTGGTCAGTGAGATTATGTGTTCTGTAACACTAGGCAGCACCACTCCCCAGTTCTGTTACTCTTGTTACTACCACCTTTCCAGTTTTCATTAGAGTTTGAAAATGTGACCATTCTTTGTGTGTATTTTAACTGAAGAAGCCAGATAAATGTCCATTATCCCAAAATACCAGGCAGCATGTCTTTAAGTACTGCCTCCTCTTACTTGGCAAGCATTATGATTACCCTGTGGAGAGCAGGGCAATGATCACTTGCTCATATATTCTTTACTACTTAAATATTCTATATGCCTTGGTTTTATAATTTTAAAAGTTATTTTCACTTGGAAAAATATTTTAAATGATCCATCAAAATGTTTAGGCTAAACTCATCCTCTGTGACTCTTTACCCTTAAGCCAATAAATCAACATGAAAATTGATATCCTTCGCTATGCAGCCTTGGATGAGTGTTCATTGTCTTCCAGAACTTGATGTGCCCACAAAAACACACACAAAGACAAAGAAATATTCCATAGGTTTCAAGAAGAATCTAGCAGTTAGGTGGCCATAAGATAGTACATTTTGAAAAAATAATCCCAAAAAGACATGTCATAGAAATTTCTTCATAATGGAGAACTTTACAATGGAACAAAAGATAAGATTCAAATTGGGTTTAACTAAACCTGAAGTGTCCATACTATGTAACAACATACAGTATTAAAATCATTTTTTAAACTGTGAGTTATAAGTAACATTTTTAAGGGTTCATCACAAAATGTTATTTTAGGGAAAAAAAGTCAAATTTGTCTCCTTAGAAAGCTACCTTATAATATTGATTAATCTAATGATAGTTATTTCATTTCTCTATAGAAGAAAGTTTTTATAATGTACTTTACTATATATCTTCTAGAGTTGAATAAAATTAGAGATATTACTTCTTCCACTAAAAATAATTTTTCACATATTTTTATTTTCCTTCAAATCACTTTCAGTTTGTTTAAGGAGATCTTATTCACATATAATTGTATATTTCAAATTTCTTTATTTTAAAAATTATATTTTATATTGATTTTCTTTGGAGAAGATTTTCATTGTAAATCTAAAAGAAAGGAGGAAAAATAGAAAGGAACTTAACCATTTTTTACAACTAACCACAGAAAGAGTACTGATCACAAAAAGTCAAACTTTGAGGAGCCTCTCTTGGGTTACCCTATTTTCTAGATTTTTACATTGAATTTTATGGTCCCAGGCTATAAGCAATTAGTGGCCTGCTATGTGCAAAATACTGTAATAGATCCTGGGAAATCAAGATGAATTAAACAATGTCCTTGCTCACAAAGAGCTTATATTCTAGGAAATACATTCTACTTATATTGGTGTGAAGGAGGAAGAATGACCTGCTTTTTCTAGTTACTATATACATTAAACTGGCACTGTGAGAATTCTACCAGATTGTCTTGAAGTCTTTCCAGTTTGATTACCACTCTTCACAACCATATCTGAATTCCTAAGCTATGACTCATGAGAACAAGATCTTTCTTTAAATATTTATATACAGCTCCTTATCATAACACTATATTTTAAACATCCTAAACTACTTTATAACCAAAATTTAATATTCTTCTACCTCTTATTGTCACATCCGTCCCTAAGCAGTGATCCCTAACTGGCTTATGTACCCACCTCATTCCTCTATTGTAACCAATACTCTTCATACTTTTGTATTCCTAATTCTGTACTATGTTGCACTTGCCTCATTTTTTGAGTGAGTCCAAATATACTGTGAATGTATGGGAAACATACAAATTTTTCACCATCATGTCCTCAGTGCAAAGTATGTGGCACTTAATAGTGCTCAATAAATATCTGTTCAATGAATGAGTGAATTGCTTAAATTCTACTTTTTAAGAAAAACACAATGATGTTAAATGGTCCATCCCTTGATCTTTCCAGTCAATAATAGTAAGCTAAAAAATAATAATAATAATAATAATAGTAAGCTAAATAATCACAAATGATAGCACAATCTATAACTAATTATAATGATTAAAATCTCTTTATGTATAATTATGGGATGATTTACTTTCCTTTAGTTTAATATCTATAATAAAAATACCACTGCTAGCAATTTCTAATTAGTTGTCTTTATCAAAATCCATATTAACTTAGGATCCAAACATCACTGAAATGCATTTACATAAACTAATTTATATAAATGCTTAGCATGGTGTATGGCTAAAATAAGCCTTCAATATTAGTATGATAGTAGTATTGCTGGTAGTATTAGTAGTAGTAGATAGTAGTATTGCTTATTTTACAGTGATGGTAATAATGAAGTGGTATCAGTGATGTTATATATAAATTATATGAAGAGCACACATTTGAGATAAATTTAGATATTTGTTTATTTCAAAATATAGGACAAGCATGGTCAAATGTCTTCTTTACAAGTAATATTCTTTTCTAGGAAAGTATAATAACTGTACTAGGGAAAATAACGTGAAATGTAATGTATAATTTTCAAATGCTTTGTAATGCATGCACTAATTCTCCTAAATAACGAAATATGTAAGGAAATAATTAACATCTGAATTTTTTCATAATAACAGCAGCCACAGAAAAAGAGGAAAAAGGGTTTTCATTTTTCCTAACTGTTCAAATGGCTTTACAAATATTTATAAAAGGTCACCAATAGAGGCCTTACCTGGGGTCACATGAAAAAAGGCCTTGTATCATCAAATGCTATTTGTAATGTCCGCTGGGTGATCTAAAACAGAATAACAAAGACAGTTTGTGACAAAGCTGACACATAGTATTCTGGAAGAAGTGAAATCAATTGTGACATTTTTCATTTATTTGTAAATGCCTCTTTGGCAGTACACTCACTCAAAATGACAGTTGCTTCTTATAGAATAAGGAAGGTAAGAGTAAAATAGAGAAATTCTGACACTTGCTTTAATGAGATTCTGCATTAGGGCTATTCTAACACATTCACCCAACATAGAGCTTGCACTTCATTTTCAATACCATAACTCAGTAATTTAAGAATGTTATCTCCATGAAAAACTACACCAGCTAGTCCTTAATAGAGATCACCTAGTTTATTTTTCCTATATCTCTCAATTAGCAGAAAACATTCTAAAACAAGTATCTAAATGAACGTCAGCCATACAAACCAATTACCCCTTCCCTTTTGAAGACAACTTGTTATTGAGAACAGTAATATGGAATATGACTAAACAACTCAAGATATACTCTCCAGGAATACAATATTTGCTTGGAGATATCTGGGGGTGCAATTTAAGCTACACTTTTAAAATTTACTTTTTATACTTATGTTCCTAAGAAAAGGGAATTATTGGCAAGATAAAATGTCTATAGTCTTTTTAATTTGATCAATGTTAAATTAAAGCAGTATAAAGATCCCATTTCATCTATATATTCAATTGTTCTTTGATCATATGCTAAGTGTTCATCAGAGTTGTAAAGAAACAGGTGAAAACTCCATCTGAAAAAAATTTAAATTATAATGTGCCATCAAATACAATCCATTCAAAGCATGGCCCAGCAACTATATACTAGGCAATCAATAGATATTTGCTGAGCCCATAAACTACAAAAACTATATTAACAATGTAACTCATAGTATTATGATTTCAAAATCTCAATCCTAGAAAAATTAATTGAGAGACTTTGGAGAAGTAAGAAACCCTCTGGATTCCAATTTTCTTATGTACAAAATAGTTAGCAATATTTACTATGAAATATGTAAGTATAAGTTTAAGCAACAGTAAAGTGCTTAGTACAGTTTCTGGCTCATAGTAAAGATTAATAAACACTACATATTATACTTATGAACCATTCTTTGATCCAAAAAACCATGCCCTACATATCTAATAATCAAGATCTCAAAGGTGAACGACAAAAAGATTACGTAGGCTGGAAGAGAAAACGAACAACACACAGGGGTGACAGGAGACTTCTCAGCAGAAATCATACAAGACAGGAGAAAGTAAAATGAAATTTTCACAGTACTAAAAGAAAGAAAAAAACCCAAAAGCTGTCAGCCAATACTGTATCCTGTGAAGCTGTCCTTTAAAAATAAAGAAGATTAAAATATTGCCAGATAAACAGAGACAATATATCTTGAACAAACCTGATTTACAAGAAATGCTAAAAGAAGCTCCTCAAACTGAAAGAAAGAGATGTTTACAAATATAAAGAAAACACAGGAAGATATAATTCATTGGTAAGAGCAATTATACCAATAAATTCAGAATGCTGTGATAGTATAAGCAGAAACCATATATAACTTTAGGATGAAGATTAAAAACAAAAGAAAATAATAACTGTTTTAATATGTGGAGAGGAAATTTCAAAATGTGTAACATGAGGTAGTAAAAATTCTAAATGTAGGAGGAGGACAATAAGTAAAGAATTTTCTTAGTATATATTCTCTTCTTTCTCTGTTTCTCTTCTCACCATTAGCATCATGTGAAGCTGTTATTATTTCAAAACACCCTGTTACAATCAAAAGATGTTTGTTGCTTTTTTGTTGGGTTGTTTTTTTTGTTTTTGTTTTTGTTTTTGGTAAGTCTCATAGGAACCACAAAGCAAATATATATAATAGGAAAACCAAAAGCAAACAGTAAGGAATTAAACCAACAATGCCAGAATAAATCCCTTAATCTCAAAGGAAGACTCTAAGAGAGGGAGAAATAAAGAAATTACAACAAAAGAGAATTAACCAAGAAGTCACAAAATGGCTGTAGGAACATTTTACTGACCAATAAATACTTTGAATGTGAATGTATTAAATTGTCCAATCAGGGCCAGGGATTTAGCTCAGTGGCACCTTGCCTGCCTCGAAAGCACAAGGTACTGAGTTCAATCCCCAGTACCAAAAAACAAACAAACAAACAAACAAAAATTGCCCAATCAGAAAGTTGAGTGGATGAATAGATTTAATAAAAAAGGCACAACTTGGGCCGGAGATTTAGCTCAGTGGTTCTGCTGCCTGCCTCTCAAGCGCAAGGACCAAAGTTCGATCCCCGGTACCAAAAAAAAAAAAAAAAAAAGACACAACTATAAGTTGCTTATAAAAACTCTAAGAATACAGAGAACTAAAAGGCTATTAGAAAATATTCCATGAAAAGAGAATCCAAAAGAAAGTAGGAGTAGCCATACTTACAATAGATCAATCGAATTTAAATCAAAAGCAGAAAAAAGAAAAATATAAGAATGTTCATTGTATAATGATAAAAGATTAAATTCACCAAGAGAAAGAAATAATTCTAAATATATGTGTATCCAATCAGACACCAAAAAATATAAAGCAACTATTAATACACCTAAGAAAGAGACTCCAATCCAATAGTAGTTAGAAACATTAATATACCACTTTCAGCAATGGACTAATCATTCAGGCAGAAAATCAACAAACAGCATAGTTATTGCACCATGGCCCAAATAAAAAACAGACATCTATAGAACTTTTCATCAAATACTTGCTCAATACACAATTTTTTCATCATCACATGGAAATTCCCCAGTATAGATAATATGATAGGTCAGTGTTGGCAAACATATAGCACACATGCCATAGTGGGCACATGAGCCAAGTCACCCTAGCAGCTGGGCACCAGATAACAGCTGTTTTTTCCAAACTAAAACCTCAGTATTCAGGATTAATTGCAGTGTTGGTACTTTCAACAGGTAAGTGAGTTTGGGGTTGCAGTGTGGGCATTTGGTCTCTAAAAGGTTTTGCCACCACTGTTTTAGGCCAAAAAACAAGTCTCAAAAAAACTTTTAAAGATTAAATCGTACGGAGTATTTTTTCTGAGCACAATTCAATAAAAATAGAAATCAGCATCAAGAAAAATATTGAAAAATATGCAAATACATGGAAATTAAGCAACTTACTTTTGCAAAACCACCAATGGATTAAAGAAATCAAGAAGAAAGTCAAATTTGTTGAAACAAATGAAAATAGAGACAACAAACCAAAACCTGCAGAAACAGCAAAAGCATTATTAAGAGAGAAGTTCATAGAAATCAGTGTCCACATCAAAAAAGCAGAAAGATTTCAAACAACCTATCACAGCATCTGAAGGAAACAGAAAAACAAACAAACTGAACTAAAATTAGTAGAAGGAAAGAAACAATAAAGATCTCAATAGAAATAAATGGAGAGAGAAGAGCTTGTTTTTGCAATTATACATAATTGGTTTTTTTGCAAAGATAAACACTCTAGACAAAATTTTAACTAGATTAAGAAAGAGACAAAATTAGAGATGAAAAGGAAGATATTATATGTGACAGCACAGAAACATAATCATTGGAGATTATTATAAATAAGTATATGCCAACATATTCAATAAACTAGAAACAATGCATGAATTCCTAGACATACATACCTTATCAAAAATTAATTATGAAAACATTAAAAAAACAAATCAATAAGAAATAACAAGAATGAATCAGTAATAAAAAGCATCCCATCACAGAAGAGCTCAGGAACAGATGGTTTCACTGCTGAAGTACTAATACCACTTCTATTTAAATTACTGTATTCCAAAAAACAAAAAAGAAAGGATTTCTTTCAAATGCATTCTACAAAGCCTGGGTTGCCCACTTACAAGGACCAGAAAAGGGCCTAAGAGAAAAAGAAAACTAAAAACTACAAGCCAATATCCTTTACAAATACATGTAAAACTCTTCAGAAAATATTACCAAAATGAATTAAACAGCATATTTTTAACATTATTTACCATGATCATATGGGATTCACACCAGGGATGAAATAAACCCACGTCTATAAACATGGTATAGTGTATCAACAAAACGAGGGACAAAAACCATAGGAGATAATTTCAATAGATGCAGAAAAGGCATTTATTAAAATTTGACATCCCAGGGCTAAGGGTGTATTTCACCAGTAGTACATTTTCCTAACATGTACAAGGCCATGAATTTCATTCCCGGGACCATGCAAAAACCACAACAACTACCACAACAACATTCAAAGTAAAAATATTGAATATATCTAAATACAGAAGGAATTTACCTGACCATAACAATGATCATTTTAATAAGTCAATAGCTAAAGTTATACTAAACAGGGAAAAGCTGAAAACTTTATTTCTAAATCCGGAACAAGACAAAGATTCAACCTTTCACCACTTTTTTTCAACAATGGTCTCCACATACTATCCAGAGAAATCAGAGAGGATAAAAAAAAGATGTCCAAATTAGAAATCAGAAATCAGACTGTTTACCAATGATGTGATGTCACTAATAGAAAAACCTTTAAAACTACACTAAAAAAACTCAGAACAAATAAATTAATTCAAAAATCAAAGAAGTGAAAGATCTCCACAAGGAATGTAAACGTTATGTATTGCAAACATGTATAAGTAAATAAATAAATAAAATTTAAAAGAAGTGAAAGATTTCTACAGTGAAAATTAAAAAGTACTGATGAAAGAAATCGAAGAGGACAAAAAAAATGGAAAGACAGCCCATATCCATGGATTGGAATAAATAATATTGTTAAAATATCCATATTACCAAGAGCAATTTATGCATCTAATGCAAGCTCCATTAATTATATTCTTCACAGAACTAGAAAAAAAACTTCTAAAATGTATATGGAATAACATAGAACTCTAAATAGCTATAGATATTGAGAGCCAAAAGAACAAAGCAGGAAGCATTATACTACCTGACCTCAAAACATACTACAAAGTAGTCCTAATCAAAAGAGCA